CTCTTTCCCCTCTCACCTCTCTCCCCTTTCTCCTCTCTCCTCCTTCTCCCCTCTTCCCTCTCCTCCCCTCTCCTCTTTCTCCCCTCTCCTCTTTCTCCCCTCTCCTCTTTCTCCCCTCTCCTCTCTCCTCTCCCCTTTCTCCTCTCTCCCCTTTCTCCTCTCTCCCCTTTCTCCTCTCTCCCCTTTCTCCTCTCTCCCCTTTCTCCTCTCTCCCCTTTCTCCTCTCTCCCCTTTCTCTTCTCTCCTTTCTCCCCTCTCCTCTTTCCCCCCTCTCCTCTCTTCTCTCCCCTCTCCTCTCTCCCCTTTCTCCTCTCTCCCCTTTCTCTTCTCTCCTTTCTCCCCTCTCCTCTCCATATCCACAGCTAATTTATCCCCATCCATTCTCCCACCAGCAGCATCCTTTGGCTTCAACAGCTCTTCCCCGCTCCCTGGTGATGTATTTATAGCACGATCCCTTCCCCACTCTCTCTTTGCCAGGCTGACCGTGCCACGTGCCGCCTCTTACATAACCAACCCCCCGTCTCTGCCCATCCGTCCGTCCTGGCGCGGGAGCCGGTTGTTATCCTGCTGTTCTCACCTCCCGGTGATTTGTAGCTCTGTGATTTCCCAGGGTAAAGATGCATTTCCAGGGTCCCTGGTGTGTTATTCATCCCCAGCGGTTTTTAAAGCTCTAATCTGCCTGAGATGATTGGTTTGGTCCCGCCGGGGTGCAGGGAGTTGGGTGTAGGTGGGTAAGGGGTGAGGTTTCTGGTTTGGTGAATTATTCACCTCAGTGTCACGCTCTGGAGGAATCACAGAATATCACAGAATCACAGAATATTAGGGATTGGAAGGGACCTCAAAAGATCATCCAGTCCAACCCCCCTGCCAGAGCAGGAACCTCAATGAGATCACACAGGAAGGCGTCCAGGCGGGTTTTGAATGTCTCCAGAGAAGGAGACTCCACACCCTCCCTGGGCAGCCTGTCCCAGGGCTCTGTCACCCTCACTGTCAAGAAGTTTCTTCTCAAGTTGAAGCAGAACCTCCTGTGTTCCAGCTCACACCCATTGCCCCTTGTCCTACCATTGGGCATCACTGAGAAGAGCCTGGCTCCATCCTCCTGACATTCACCCTGAACATATTTATAAACATTAATGAGGTCACCCCTCAGTCTCCTCTTCTCCAAGCTAAAGAGCCCCAGCTCCCTCAGCCTTTCCTCAGCAGGGAGATGCTCCACTCCCTTCATCATCTTGGTGGCTCTGTGCTGGACTCTCTCCAGCAGTTCCCTGTCCTTCCTGAACTGGGGGGCCCAGAACTGGACACAATATTCCAGATGTGGCCTCACCAGGGCAAAGTAGAGGGGGGGAAGGAAGGTGAGATGGTGGCAGAGCGAGTCCAAGCTCTGATGGTGTGGCCATACTGGGGCTGGCAACACCAAAACAAGGTTTCGATACACATGGGTGGGTGCTACAACTGGCTGCACCGTCCCGGTGTCGGCGGGCGCGGGGCTGTTCACCAGCATGTGGCTGTGTCGGCTGCGGTGGGTGACTCAGCTGTCACCTGGGTTGTCCCCAACTCACTCTGCAGGAAGTGAGTCAGGTTTTTAAGGAAGAAAAAAAAAATGTTAAAATGATGGGGCAAGAGTTGTTCCTGCACGGGGAGGAGGGCGGTGCTGGTCACAGGAGGGAGATGGGGATGGAAGGTTGTGGGTGATGCTCAGGTAAGGAGACCTCGCTCGCCTCCGATGCTGCCCGTCGCGCTGTAGCTCCTCCATGGAGTTTGAGGGAAGGAAGGTGGGAACACCCTGTAACTCATCCCACCACCAAAACCTGGGATGTAAGCTCAGCTCTCACCTGCCCTGGCACTCAGGAGCTCCTCTCAGTCTTGTTGTTGGCCTGAGATGATGTTTCTCCTCACAAAGTCTGTGTGGGGAAGAGAGGAGATGGGAACTGATCTGGGGCATGGGCTGAACTCTGTGTCTACCTCTTCCCCCTGCAGAGATGGACACCTTCAGCACCAAGAACCTGGCCCTGCAGGCCCAGAAGAAGCTCTTGAGCAAGATGGCTACCAAGACCATAGCCAACGTCTTCATTGATGACACCAGCAGTGAGATCTTGGACGAGCTCTACCGGGCCACCAAGGAATACACCCACAACCGCAAAGAGGCCCAGAAGATCATCAAAAACCTCATCAAGATTGTCATGAAGTTGGGCGTCCTCTACCGCAATGGGCAGTTCAACCCCGAGGAGCTGCTGGTGATGGAGCGTTTCCGCAAGAAGGTCCATACCTTGGCCATGACGGCCGTCAGCTTCCACCAGATAGACTTCACCTTCGACCGCAGGGTCATGTCGGGTGTGCTGACAGAGTGCCGGGACCTGCTGCACCAGGCTGTCAACGGCCACCTGACGGCCAAATCCCACTCCCGCATCAACCACGTCTTCAATCACTTTGCGGACTACGAGTTCCTCTCGGCTCTTTACGGGCCATCTGAGCCCTACCGCACCCACCTGAAGAGGATCTGCGAAGGGGTTAACAAGATGCTAGAGGAGGACAACATATGAAGTTGGCCAAGATGGTCCATGGGCAGCAACTGCCAGACTCTGCCTCCTGTGAGACTGAGGACAGGACATACACCTGCTTTAACCATCACCAGGCTTGACGTCCTCTTCTCCTCTGTAGTGCTAACTCATTTTCTCCTTGTTTCTACAAAAGACTGAACCTCTTGACTTTGTCTAACCCTCGCCCAGGGTCTGCAAACCTTCCCTGTGCTGGGCTGAGTCCTTTTCAGGTGATCCTGGGCCTCTGGGCTCCTGCTGTACAGTTTGATTTTCTTTGACCACCAAGTGCTCTTAGCTTAGAGTCCAAGGAACTGAGCTCCTCACCTTGAACTCGATCGTAACCCTCCCTGGGGGAAAACCAAACCAAAGACTCGTGGTGTGTAACACCTCTAAGGTGTCTCTGATGGGGTGGGCAGTTGGTTGGATGAATGGTTGTGAGATCCTGTTTACCTGAGAGTTGTGGAGCCCCATGGTTGTCTTTCAGCAGCTCCATGATATGGTGGGAACAAATCATGGTCCAGGCTTGTGCTGCTCAGTGTAGGAAGGTGCTTCTGCACCTTGCAGGCTAGGATGGATGGGCTTTGGCCTCCTGAAAGACAAGTCCTTGAGAGCATAAAGATCCCACCTCACCTGGGCAAGCAGATTCCCCTTGGGGCAGGGAGGGAGCTGCTCCTTCCCTGCATCCCAGGTACACCCCTTCATCCAAGACCCAACTCCCCCCACCAGCATCCCATGATGGTACCACTGTGATGGCTCCGACACCTTCCTCGGTGGTTGTCCAAAGCTCTCCCCAGGATTTCATCTGTTTTCTGTGTCCTCCACTGAGTTATGGTTGTTATTTTTTAGCAAACTCTGTAACCCTGATGAGTTATTTAAATAAAACTCACCTGTTTGGCCTGGGTGCTCCATGCGGTTGATACAAAAGTGGTTGACAGCGATAAAATGAGCACCAGGGGCAGTTGGTTTGGTCTTTTAAATGGTGATTGTGCTCTTGTGACCTGGGGATTTTCCCCTCCATCCCTTGGCATCGCTGCTGGCCAGGCTGTCCCCCTGCTCCATGGCACAGCAGCTCCCAGCTTTGCACGACCAGCATTGAACTGGTGGGAGGAAACGCGGCGTAAAACCCAGCACAACCCATAGCAAAGGTCTGGGGGGTCCTGAGAGGAGCAAATCCTGCTCCCACACGTGCTCCTCTGCATCCCCGTGTCCTCTCGCTGAACTAAAAAAGCAGAACCCTGATTGCAGAACAGCAACAAGGAACGTATCCTGGGCTGCATCAAGAGAAGCGTGGGCAGCAGGTCGAGGGAGGGGATTCTCCCCCTCTACTCCGCTCTTGTAAGGCCCCACCTGGAGTACTGCGTCCAGTTCTGGAGCCCCCAACATAAGAGAGACCTGGAGCAGCTGGAACAAGTCCAGAGAAGGGCCACCAGGATGGTCTGAGGGCTGGAGCAGCTCTGCTGTGAGGACAGGCTGAGAGAGTTGGGGCTGTTCAGCCTGGAGAAGAGAAGGCTCCAGGGAGACCTTCTAGTGGCCTCCCAGTACCTGAAGGGGCTCCAGGAAGGCTGGGGAGGGACTTTTCATAAGGGCAACTAATGACAAAACAAGGGGAAATGGGTTTAAACTGAAAGAGGGGAGGTTTAGATGAGATATTAGGAAGAAGTTCTTCACTGTGAGGGTGGTGAGACACTGGAACAGGTTGCCCAAGGAAGTTGTGGCTGCTCCTCCCTGGAAGCGTTCTCGGCCAGGCTGGATGAGGCTTTGAGCAACCTGGTCTAGTGGAAGGTGTCCCTGCTGCTGGCAGGGGGGTTGGGACTGGATGATCTTTAAGGTCCCTTCCAACCCAAACCAGTCTATGATTCTATGAACTTTGCATGATTCAATCAAGGTGTGTTGTAAAAGTGTTGTGCTCTCAGAGCGTGGCTGCTCCGGCCGTGGCCCGCTTCCAACACATTGATCTTGCTTTTGAACACCAAAAATTGCCCTTTTAGCATACAAGATACCGTGCGATCTCAGCCGGCCTTATCTCTGCGACCTTCTTGTGCCTCCTGTTCCATGGGATGTCTCTAGGCACAAGAAGGTTGCCAACACTCGTGGGCAGAGAGCAGCTCCGTGGCTTCCGTTTGCTGTTCCCTTTCCACCGCTGGCTCGAGGCACTGATAACTTTCAGCCTTAAAGATTTCAAAAAATAATGAAATAAAATAAAGCCCCTATCTCTGTCATTTCATAGGCCTGGCTCCAACTATCACAGCTAATTTAATTTCACACCACAGCTTGGGGTGGGGGGTAAAGCACATTTACAGGTGTGCACGGAGGAGAAAGCGGCCAAGATCCACCGAGGTGTTGGTCCCTCGGGGAGGGCAGGGGGAAGTTGGCCTTTGGAGTGTGGTGTTTTGAGAACAGACATCCCCATGTCCCCCTCTGGGCTCACAGCATCTGTCAAGTATGTGCCAAAGAGGAGTTGAGGTTGGAAACAGCTCGGTGGAGTTCTCGGCAGATGCGGTGAGGAGGCAAAGCGGAACGGAGCTGATGGATGCGGCGGCGGCAGCGCTGACAAGCCAGAAACGCTTTGCTGTTGTGTTCTCGAGGTGCGTGTCAGCGGCAGCTGCAAGATGCTCCTTAATTGCATGAAATATCTCTGCTCGGATCAGCCCCGACTCACTCACGGCTGTTCCCTTTGTCTCCAGGGTTTCCTACACCCCAGGACCACGCTTAACCCACCAAATGCCTGGCACCAGCTTTCCTTCAAATACAAGTGTCTCATCTGAAATTTCTCCCCCTCATCCCACAGCAAACACCCACCTCATTCCCAAACTCTTGCCTTTTTGTCCCAGGAAGCCCTGGAGAGCACAGTCTCTGCTAGAAAGGCCATTTTACAGCCTGGGTTTCCCATCCCAACCCTGGCTGTACAAATCTGGGAAATGAGTCCCTTCAACTCCCTTTGCTCTGGTTCCCTCCAAGCAACTGGTTAAATAGGGAGAAAAGCCAGAGACCAGCAACACCAGCACCCTAAATGCAGCTCAGAGCTCACTGGGGATGCACCTCCCCACCCAACAGCACTCCTGAGCCCTGCAGCTATCTGCAGACCCAGAAGGAGCCGCTCAGCAGGGAAAGAAGCATCTGGGAAGAGCCTGGAAAACAGAGCTTGTAAAATCCCTAGTGCAAAGCACCCCCAGAATGCCACAAAACAGGCAAAGAAATTACCACCGACCACAGCCACCACCTCTGGGCAAAGCGCTCCTCATGACAGCGCTGAGTTAAGCAAACTTACAGCTGGAGCTTTATTCTCACGTGCTGTGACCCCTCTCGGGTGGGCAGAACCCTCATAAACCCTCTGCAGCCTCCAGCCTCCCGTGTGAAATCTCAGCTCCTCCTGGCCCAGCCAATGCTGAAGGTCGTGGCATCCAGTTGGAGAGGGCAGGAGTGACAGAGCAGAGCAAATTCAGTCGAGAGCGTGATGCTTTATTTCTTTATTTGTGTTGTATTTACACAGGAAAGGAATCCCACGTTCCCTCACTGTTACTACTCTAGATAAGAAAAAAATCACTTCTGTACATAGAAAATAGTCCTGCAGTGGTACTGAGACATGAAAGTGTTGCTTGGATTGATTCCTGGGTTGTGTCAGAATAAGCAGCTCTGCCTTCCCCACACCAAGTTCTCCCAACCCGCACTCTGCACTAGGGCAGGTCCAGAACATTGAAGCCAGCGATGGTCTTCGGTAGCCACATGCAACAAGGAGCCAGAGAGCTTTGGCCAACTCTGCCCCTTCCTTCCCCCTCCCACCCCATGTAATTATTTCCTCCTGTCATGCTTGTAGAGAGAGAAATCCTGTCCTCCCTCCAGAGACTACAGAGTTAACAACTTTCCTTTAGCAAAACCCTGTTTAAATCCAGCCACTTATCTTTCTGCCTTGCTCCTTCTAGCCAGGGAGATAAGGAGCCCCTGTTAGAGGGGGAGCTTTACCATATTCAGCAGATCAACCAAGCAGAAAGCAGAGGACAGCATGGCTGGCTGCAGATCAGGAGTCTCAGAGGAGGTTTCCAGCTGCAAAGCACATTGTTACTCTGACACAAGACAGAATGCATCTGTCTTAACACCTCCAAGCCCCACGTGTGTTGGACCCTAACACATTTCAATATGGAAAACATAAAAGGTTTGGCCAACCAAAAAAAAAAAACAACCCAAAACCCCGCTGTTAACAAGTAATCCTTTTTATCTGCCATACTCTTCCGGCCAAAACACCCTGCCCAGCACTGGCCTCGAGGTCACAGCTCGTCACGGGGCGTTTTTGCTACAATCATGAGTTTGGATAGTTCAAAACGGAACTTGCCTTCCCTGTGAGACACTAGAAAGAGAGAAAACAAGCAGAGGATAAACAGATGGTAAAGCACGAACAAAACAGCCTTGCTGGTTCCCTTCCAGGATGACAACGCCAGCAAGTCGGGCATTGCACTTCCTTCACATGCACGCGACAAGCGTGTGGTGATAAACCCTTTCCTTCCCCATGCTAATTTAACATTTACACTGGAACAGGACCCACAAAATCCTGCTGCCAGCTATTGATCAAGAGCACAATGTGCCCTGCTCCATAACATGCACTGTCCTCCTAATCATTGTCATCTATCTGCATTAAACTTAAATACTCATCTCCTGGTGGAAAGCCAGGCTTATCTCCCACTCCAGCCCCTTTCTCACATAGTTTTCTCAGTCACAGACCTGTTGTTTCGGTGATTTCAAATTCTTCCTGTTTTAAGGGGATGTCGCTTTGTCCACCCACTGCAGCTTGAGACTGAAATGGGAAGGAAGAAGGTTGAAGCAGTTGAGGCGATCCAAGAAGCGACGGTATTTAAAGCAAACAAGCAGCACATTTTGAAGAAGAATGAACTTGTGGAGTGAAATAATTAAATCCACGTAGGAAACCTGAAGGAAAATCTCTGGCTCTTTTTCCATTTCCTATTAAACCATGGAGTTGGGTTGCTCGGGTGACTCCAAGCCTCACCACTGAA